CAGGTAAAGGATCAAATTTATATTAAAAATATACAAAATGACAGGTAAAAACATCAAGCATCTATAAAAATTTTTTTTATTGATTTGTTCATTTTTGAAAAAGTAATAGCACTTTTAAGTAAAAAAATTGAAAAAATTAAAAAAATTAGCGATTTTTAAATTTGTAAATTTTTTGAAGATTTCCATCATTTACGCAGAACAAAGGAATTTTTTTCAATTTTTGAGGGTAATATGTTCGACTAGATACGATTTGTGATATTTTAACGTATCGTTAAAAGAAATCGGTTCGGTGAGAGCTGAGAATAAATAATGACAGATACAAAATAATTAAACACATAGTAAAATTAATACTTTCTCAGCTTTGCATCGAAGATAAAATGTTTAAAATACGTTATGGTAAAAATAGAGCGTCGCTAAAAACTACCCCAATCATCACTTTTCTAGATCATCAAATGTTAATAACTCAAAAATTAATAATACAAAACTTATACTTCTTTTCAAAAATAAAGTGTAAGCTTAAATATATGATATTCTTGGATATATTTTTAAATGACGGTTGATCAATAAANTCGTATCTAGTTGAAGACATTACCCTTAAAAATTGAAAAAAATTCCCTCGTTCCCCGTAAATGGGGGAAACCTCCAAAAAAATTACAAATTAAAAAATCGCTAATTATCAAAATTTTTTCAATTTTTTTTACTAAAAACTACCGTAACTTTTTCAAAAATGAACATATCAATATAATTCTTTTTTATACTAAAACTTTAGATATTTACCTTTCATTTGATATCATTTTTNAATTTTTTTTTATACTAAAACCTTAGATATTTACCTTTCATTTGATATCATTTTTTTGAAAATCTATCACTTAACCTGCTCATTGGGGGGGATTTAAAATGGCAACTTTTTTACAAAAATTAATTTTTTCAACTTAATTTTTGAAAATGTTCCGGAAAGACTGCGTCCTTTGAACATATATCAAATTAAAGCTTATTTTATGTACTACAAAATGAAAAAAACTTTTTTTTCTACATTTAAACGGCTGCCGTAGTTAAAAAAACACTATTTTTGTGTTAAAATTTTCGATTTTCGATTTTAAATTTTCAACTTAAAAATGCTATAACTTTTTGAAAAATGTATATATCAGCACAAATTTTTTTTTTCTAAATACATTATAAGTACATCTTTCATTTGACATACTTTTTATTAAAATTGGACAATTTCCCCTTATATAGGGGGCGTTCAAAACTTAAAATATTGTAAAAAACATAGATCTTTTTCAACTGAACTTTTGAAAATGTTCCGGAAATACTGCGTCCTTTAAACATATATCAAATCAAAGGTTATGTTATATACTATCAAATGAAAAAAAAAAATTTGTCCCGACATCTTATCTTCTATGTGCAAATGGCTGTCGAAAATTTTAAAAAAAATGTAATGTTTGCGATAAAAATTACATTTTATCGGGATGTTTTTTGTACTTAAAACTGCCATAACTTTTTCAAAAATGAACAAATAAAAATAATATTTTTTTGTATTGAAACCTTAGATATTTCCCTTTCATTTGATATAATTTTTTTTGAAAATCTAACACTTAACAAAAAATAACTTTTTCAACTTGATTTTTTAAATGTTCCGGAAATACTGCGTCCTTTAAACATATATAAAATTAAAGCTTATTTTATGTACTACAAAATTAAAAAAAAAAATTTGTCCCGATGACCTATCTTCTATACGCAAATGGCTACCGCATTCAAAAATATGCTATTTTTGTATGAAAATGATGGGTTTTGTATTTTATTTTAATAGAAGTTGATGTTCCTTTTGCAATTATCCATCAATTTTTTTAAATTAAACACTATCTACTGATTTGCATCGAAGCGTTTCTTATGATAGTGATTTTAATCACTGTCAGATTAAATCTATACTGGACCCAACTATGCAATGTCTCCACTATCCCGCGACCCCACTGTGCTACCGTTTTTTTTTAAATTTATTATTATAAGAGTTTATAACTTAAAAATCCGAAACCAACTATAATACTGTCAACAAGATTAGTTTCAATTAAATGCAAAGAGCCTACAGATGGTAATATTGTTTCTAATTGTTTAAAATCATCAATGTTGGATACAAGAGATGATTTTAGAGCTTTAATTGCTAATATACCTAAAAATGTTAAACTTTTAAATACTATTTTACCTCAACTCGCATAATTAGAATTAATATCATTAAATAGAAATTTTTTTTTTATTTTAAATGTGGCCAATAAACTTATATCTATTAGTCAACATCTGTATTCAAAACCATTATATAGATGTGATCGAAAACTGACAGCCCCATAACACTTAACTGTAAAATCGTTTCACTAATAAAAGATCTCTATAAGAAATGGATTGAGTTAAAAAAGAAATACTACTGTTCAAAATAGAAAAGAAATTTTTAAAATTATTAGATACTGTCTTTGATTTTTCAATCGCTAATTCTTTAAAGATCAATTTTTTTAACAAAGAAAATAAATTATTTATTTCTAAACAAGTATTTACTACTAAAACTTTAGAATATAATAAATTTTTTGTTAGAATTACCCTTTCGACTCAAAATATAAAAGATAATAATTTTGAAGAACTTCACCTGAGAAACTAAAATAATTATTAATTTATATTGATTTGGTCATTTTTAAAAAAGTTATGGCAGTTTTAAGTAAAAAAAATTTCAAAAATTTCGAAGTGAGTGTTAAATTTGTAATTTTTGAGGGTACTGTCTTCGACTTGATACGATTTGTGATCTTTTGACGTATCATTGAAAGAAATTGGTTCGTTGAGAGCTGAGATAAAGTGACGATAGACACAAAAAAAAATACATCATAGTATTACTAATACCTTCTCAGCTTTGCATCGAAGCAAAAAAGTTTTTAAGATTAGTGAATAATTATCTTTTATCTTGTAAAATACAAAAAAAAAATTTTAAGCTTACTTGAGATCTACTAGAAATATACCATATACTGAAGATAATTATGATATCCACGCTATCAATTTTCTACTTAAAACTTTGAAAATGAAAAATTTGTATTTTACAGTAAAAATCAAACTATTTTGATATACTACTCATAATATTAATATAATATTAAATAATATAAAATTGAATAACAAAGGCCGTTTTTGGGGTTATTTTTGGTCAAAATACTAAAAATACGTTGAGCGATCAATAAATTTTTTTTTAAAAATGTCAAATCTTCACAAAATAATTATTTTAATGTATGTAATAAAGTTAAAATGGTTCTCATTAAAAATTCGAAGTCGACTTTTGTTTATCCATCCTACTGGTTATTGACCAGTCAAAATAAAAAACATATCAGCTTTGATGCCAAGCTAAGAATCTATTAATTTTACCATGATTTGTTTATTTTATTTTTTTTGAGTGTGTCTGTCATCACTTTTTCTCAGCTCTCACAGGACCGATTTCTTTATAACAATATGTTGAAGAATCACAAATCATATCTAGTCAAAGACATTATCCTTTAAAATTGAACATATTTTCCTCGTTCACCGTAAATGGGGGATAACTCAAAAAAAATTTCTAATTTAAAAATTGTTAGATTGTTTTGATTGTGTAAATTATTATTTCAAAGTAGTTAATTTTTTTTTAATCTGGTCTTTTCTACTTATATAGAGGGTTCAACATTTGATACTTATGTATAAAAACTAGACTTTTTTCAACTGAAATTTTAAAAATTCATTGTGTATTAACAATATAGGAATTTTTAATTGAATAATTACATTTTTTTTCAATATTATATATATTTTTGGGTATTTTATAATAATCTAAACACTTTGTATATTTATATATACAAAACTGTGAAAGCCAAATATTATTATAGTAAAAAAAAACTATAAGATTTAATCAAATTTTATGTAATTTACGATTTAATAGATGTTAATTTGATATTGTTTTTACTTTTCACTTTTAATTATTTCATCAAATTTCATCATTTTGAATCCATTTTTATTGATTTATAGACAATATATGTAGAGAAAATTTATTTTATGAGAATGTATATACAAATGAAAATTTCAACGATAGCAATAACAGTAGTGAATTGAATATTTATGACATCGGGAATAATGATGGTTTGGATGAATTCAAAATTACAAATGATGAAAATATCAAACATCCTATTTTCATAAGAAAAAAGAATAAAAGTTTGATAGCATCAATTGAAATGAAGGATTTCCCAAAACACATGGTGGATTATTTTATTTGTACAAAATAGAAAATTATATTTTTGTATTAATAAACAGACTAGTATAAATTTATACATTTAAATAGTATTTTAAATTTAAGCACATAAAGTTTAATTTAATATTAATAAGTATATAAATACTTTTTATAGCTTTGATGCTTCGCTGAGAAGGTATTAAGTTTACTATAATGTGTTTTTTTTTTATGTCTGTCATTTCTCAGCTCTCTATAAAGTAGAGTACTCTGGTACTCCCAGTGTAGCCGTATACTCCTATTAGAATCAGTAGCCTACTTGTAAGGACGACCCGAAGAACTTAACATACTTTAGGGCCTTGTAGACCAGAGGGAAAAGGGTCTAGGTTAGAGCTCCATCTAGGCGTATATTAGAAACTCTAAAATGGTATATTATACCTCTCTAATTTATTTAAAATGTATGTAAGCTCGAAATTAAGTAAAAAAAATTCCAAGTTAAAATAAGAAGTTATTATTAAAAATTTTAAGTAACAAATTTAAATTTATGTTAATATTTGCTTACAATGAATAGAACATGAATAAATAAAATGTATAACTATAAATTAAAAACACTATATAAATGCAAAGTCTCACCAATATTACTTTATATGATTTTATTATATTTGTTCCTTTTAAATTAAGTTTGAAATAAAAAAAATATGATTATTATATCTATTTTGACAATTTTACTATTTAATTTTTTATTGGTGAAATCTGACAACAAACAACGACATTGCAATTTTTCTAGATACATGTTGAATTATTTTAAACATAATGAACAGTATTTGTTATATTTGGATAAAAATTCAGAAAAAGTAACCGAAGAAGATTTAAATGAATACGACAAAGCTGTTCAATCCCATGGTAATATTGTAATATTCATGATTCAAGAACTTTATTATTATCACAACGACTATTATCCATCAGACTTGATGACGGTAAATATGTATTTAAACAATATTTCTGGATCAATAATTGTAATTTATAAAGAAGACGCAGTTAATGATATCAAAAATAATAAAGTGTTTCTCAGTTTAGAAGGTTTAAAATTACTTAATCATACTATGATAAAATGTTTAGACAATTATATAAAGTCAAATTGTACTGAAGAACCAATTATGTTATTTGTCGAATATCCTATCAAATTATTACCATCTCATATATTAAATATTGACCAGTTAAGTAGGGCTACAGAATATCTCAGAGAAAAATTAATGACAGAAATAAATTTTGAAAAAATTAATAATCAAGACCAACAATTGTTCCACCCAAAAAATATATTATTTTATAATTTAATGACGAATGACTCAGAAGAAAATCTAACAATTGGTACTAAATCAAAACGGCGTCAAAATCTTGATTATGATAAACCAAAAGAAGTTTTAGATCTCCTAAGATTTGCTCCACTTAATATAAAGTGCGCTGACGAAACTCACCTAACTCTACTAGATTTTTTTCGTTTCGCAGAGTATCAATTTTTTTTCTGTGATATAAAAACTTTCCATAAAATATTACGTGGAGCTATATTTTATCCTGTTGGAGTACTTATAGCGGATTACACGCATTTTGTAAACGCGTTTCGCAATTGTAAAGTACTTAAAAAGGATAACAAAATTGTTCAAGATAGTTTAGTTACCTTAGGAAAGAAGATAGCACTCATCCTTCAAACATTTATTAACCTTAAAATATACGATGTGGAAAGATTTGATTTTTTTAAAATAATATCTAGCAGATTACACTTGATTCTAAATTGGGTAAAAGGTATACCACTTCGAAATGAAGATTTACCAGAGATGATGTTAAAAGAAATAAAAAATTTCATGTTAAAACACAAATTAAAATTCAATTTAGAATATGAGAATATTTTTTCTGAAAAAATTTTTGTTAATATACTTAACATAATATTAGGAAAAACGAATCTAGTTGAATCTTATATTCAGGAAATAAAAAATCATGTAAATTCATTATATTCAGTTTATAATTTAAAACTTTTTGGCAGAATTTCTGTTAAAAATTATAAGCACTTTTTAATGCCAGATATAATTGGTAAGCTTTCATTTACTTTTAATATACATAAGTGTGTCACAATTTATTACAATTATATACAATTATTTAAAATATCTAAATAACATAAATAATTTGTGTTGAAATAAGTAATACTTATTATTTACTAATTCATACTTTGTTTTAACTATAGTTTATCGAATATGGTCGATAATTTATAAAACGGTGTGATAGGTTTATCATAAAACACTTACAAAATAATTACAATTGATAAAAAAAGGTTCGGTTTTTAATAGCAATGCTTATAGCTTGGGTGTCCAAGTTAAATGACAACATACATATTTACTAGCTTATAAAATAGAAAATGATCTGATAAAAAATATGACAACATTTCCTGTTTATATATAGGAAGGAAAAAGATTACCGTCGATAAATAACTGATTATTGACCAATCCTAATTTTACAATTAAAAAACATTTTAAATAATATAGTAGTAACATATCATCTATTTTATCATGATGTGTTTATTTTATTTAAATTTTTTTGTTTGTGTCTATCGCTACTTTTTCTTAGCTTTCACCTGACTGACATTTTCACCGATACATCTAATGATTAAGTACTATCTAGTCAATGAATACCTATAAAAAGTAGAACTTTTTTAACTGAAATTTTGAAAATCTATTAACTATTGACAATATACATATTTTTGAATAATTAATTAAAAATAAAATACATTTCTTTTCAATATTATATTTATTTTGCAAATAATAGAGTATTTTATGATAATCCTCCTAACACTTTGTATAGTTATATATACATAACTCTTAACGCCAAAAAATGCTCATAGTAAAAAAAAAACTGTAAGATTTAATCAAATTGTATGTAATTTACGATTTAATAGAAGTTAATCTGATATTATTTTTACTTTTTACTTTTAAATATTTCATTACATTTCATAATTTTGAATCCATTTTTATTAATTTACAGACAATATATGTAAAGAAAATTTATTTGTTGAAGATAGAAATACAAGTGATAATTTCAACGATCTCAATAACAGTAGTGAATTGAATATTAATGATATCGGAAATAATGATGGTTTGGATGAATTCAAAATTACAAATTATGAAAATATCAAACACCCTATTTTCATAAGAAAAAAGAATAAAAGTTTGATAGTATCAATTGAAATGAAGGATTTCCCAAAACACATGGTGGATTATTTTATTTGTACAAAATAGAAAATTATATTTTTGTATTAATAAACAGACTAGTATAAATTTAAACATTTAAATAGTATTTTAAATTTAAGCACATAAAGTTTAATTTAATATTAATAAGTATATAAATACTTTTTATAGCTTTGATGCTTTGCTGAGAAGGTATTAAGTTTACTATAATGTGTTTTTTTTTTATGTCTGTCATTTCTCAGCTCTCTATAAAGTAGAGTACTCTGGTACTCCTAGTGTAGCCGTATACTCCTATTAGAATCAGTAGCCTACTTGTAAGGACGACCCGAAGAGCTTAACATACTTCAGGGCCGTGTAGACCAGAAGGAAAAGGGTCTAGGTTAGAGCTCCATCTAGGCGTATATTAGAAACTCTATAATGATATATTATATCTCTCTAATTTATTTAAAATGTATGTAGCCTCGATATTAAATAAAAAAAATTATACATTAAATCGTATTTTAAATCTTATCACATAAAATTTAATATTATTTGAATAAATATATAAGTAAAGTAAAATGGAGAGAGCTGGCCCCCCGCATCACTCACTCCCCCACCAACCAGTGGTGTTGAAGGAGGTGTACGGGGGGATTAAATCCAACATAAACTTACCTAATGCTATGGCGGGAGAGGGAAACGATAAAATCCAACGTAAACTAACAACGTTTTCTAAAAATTTTATCATCGACTACTCGACGGTTAGGTTAGCATATTTCCAATAATAAGGTACCACTGTACAGTAACGATCACTCTCGTATGCATTTTATGAGAAGAATAACACCACTGGCGGTGTTTCACGCCTACGTATTTTATTTTTTACTATATAACTGGTTAAACACTTCTTGTCCTGTCACATTTGTTTTTAATTATCATTATCGTGCAGTTGTCTATTCGAAAACCAGAAATTTATTATTTAATAATTTACACGTATAAATAAAACCATGAACCAGCAACCTCAATCGTCTTCTACACAAGGTAGTAGATTTTTCCAAACATAAACTTACTTTATTTTAATAAATTTATTTTTATAAATAAATAATAAAATAAAGCCAATACCTAATTTTACTGACGATTTTATTTTATTTTACGATTTGTTTTTATTATAAAAAAATTTTTTTTTACTTTACTATAATGTATAAAAAAGTGGCTAGATGCCCTAATTGCTAGGATCTAGCCATTAGGGCATTGCTATCCAATATGGATATCGGGTATGCGGTCGATGAAGATTTTGAGGTTATTCTCGCCGAGGAAGACGTGTACTCAGGGAAAGGTAGCTGCTTTACTTTATTACATATAGACGGCCTTATGCTTAGCATATACAAGTATACGCACCACGCTGGCTCATTATATATTTCGATTCCGCACGTAATTAATAATAGAAAAACAATCATCAACCCACAGAATATCAATCAGTCCTATGTCAAGTGGTCCATTTTGGCGAAACACGTCAAGGAAGATCACAAATATCGTGTTGATCGATAATATTTTAACGAGGCACATAGGTGTGATTTTACGGGATGGCGTTCCCCACACCTGTGTCCTAAATTAACATATTTGAGTGACGCAATCCTAACGTATCTGTCAACGTGTACGGCTTGGAACGAGACGACGTTAAGTTGATGTGGTCGGTGTATCCACTATGAGTTGGGTTGGGTTGGGTTGGACTAAGACCAACAAAATCATTTTGACCTATTGTATATTGGCGACTCTGAAAAATCACATTATGAAAACATTTCGGATTTTTCAAAGCTTGTTCATAAACAAAAAATCAGACACCAAGGTCGCATATACACTGCAAACGTTGCTTCATCATCTTTGATGATTAGCCTAAAAAGCATATTCTTTGGGGTCATCATGCGATGGAGCAACACAAGTTGATATGTGGCAAAAATATTTTTAAAAATATATTTAAAAAAACCAATTTTACCCGTTTTGCCGGCAAAGGGCAGCAAGGTCGAATTTGACGCGTGGATAAAGACGCAACAGTTACCGTTTGTCATCTACGCCGATTTTGAGGTCTTGCTGGAGCAAACAGATGATCGTATGGATGCATACACTATAACTGTGCACACCCATCATCCCATGAGCTACGGGTTCATGGTGAAAACATCGGACGATGTGCCTTCCGAGCTCTTAGAACGCTACGGTATACCACAATAACCAGTTTATACCATCTACGATATACGATCAGAGGATCGCGAAAAGGTCGCCAAGGTATTTGTGATGGCTGTAACTGAAGTGACGCGCAACATTTCTAATTTATTGCGCAAAACCAATGTTTTTATCCGAATGTCTCTCAATGATGTGCGCAGGCACGGGGAGAAACTGGTATGCGACTTGTGCCGTATAGCATTCAAGAATTCCAACTCTAAAGTCGCAGACCACTGTCATTTATTGGGGCGATTCAGACAGACGTTGTACAATGCGTGTAACCTGAAAGTAAAAACGGTCAACTTTGTGCCGTGCTTCTTGCTCAATCTTCCAGATTACGACGTGCATTTTATCGTCACCGAATTGGAGTACGATGATCAAAGGACTTTGGTCATATCGAATTCCGAAGAGAAGTATATTACCCGTAAGTATATTATGAAACACGTGACCAATAACTTCTCCATATGTTTCGTCGACACCTTCCGGTTCATAGCCTCCTCCCTGTTTACCTTGGTTGGTAACCTAATGACGCCCGACTTCGTTAAAATCTTGAAGCACGGAAAACATGCCGTTGGTGACGCGTAAGGGCGTATACCCCTACGATTACACTGATAGTTGGGCTAAATTGGACGAAACGGAGCTACCATCTCAAGAAGCTTTCTATAATCAGTTGAGTGAGTCTAATATCAATGACAATGACTATAGAACCATTTCGGCTGCTCAACCCTCGGAGAGTTTAGCGACCTATACCTTAAGATCGACGTGTTGTTGTTGGCTGATGTGTTTGAGAACTTCCGTGACATCTGTACTTCAACATACAATTTGGAACCGGCGCACTATTACATCACACCTGGTTTTAGCTTCCATTGTATGTTGAAGTATACTGGGATGAAGCTGGAGTTCTTGAACGACTACGATATGCTACTGATGGTGAAACAGGGCATTCGTGATGGGCTAGTGCAGGCCGTTAAGTACTATGCGAAAGCAAACAATGTCAAAACACCTGGCTACAATCCGACAAAGCCTGAATCATGGATCGTGTATCAAGATTGTAAGTATTATATATAAGTGCAATAATTGAGCGGTAGTTTTAAAAATGCTTAATATATACAAACAATAACCTCTACGGGTGGGCTATGAGTCGGCCCATGCCGTACGGTAGCTTTCGGTGGTATGAAGGAGCAGACCCTCTGGCCGACCTCCAATCGTTGTCGAACACTGGTAATACGGGGCGTATATATGAAGTGGACGTATTGCATCCATAAAAACTGCATAACGAGCACAACGACTTGTCGTTCTTGTCTGGTAACGATGTACCACCGGGTTCCAAAGAAACCAAACTCATGGTCACTTTGAAATCCAAACAACGGTACATCGTACGCTATTTCAACTTTTAACAGGCAATCGCACATGGAGTGCAAGTCATTAAAATATGTATAATAACCCTATAAACTATAAGCGATGAGACTTATATATTTGTTTTGAAGGTGCACCGCGTTTTAGAGTTTCAACAAAGTACTTGGTTGAAACCATACATTGAGTTAAACACTAAAATATGGAAACAGGCAGCAAATGCTTTTGAAATAGCATTTTTCAAACTAATGAATAATGGCGTCTTTGGTAAGTGCACGCTCAATGCTAAAGCAGTTGTAGGTTATTCGACAAATTTCTACATTTTAAATGGGAAACCAAGGATAACATACAGAAACGCATCCGCATTGAGCTAGTCTCCAGCCCCGAACGTCTAAGCAAGCTCATAAACCAACCAACCTTCAACGACTGAATTAAATACGGTGAAAGGTTGTGCATTGTCATAATGGATACAAAGATTGTCAAGTTTATCAAACCTATATATGTAGTTTAGCAGTGCTTGACATTAGCAAAACGCTAATGTACAAGTACTACTACGACGTATTAAAACCACATTATGGAAACGCAATCAAATTGGTTTACATGGATACTGGTGAGTACAACCGTACAGTAGAAATATTATTCAATATTTATATATTTTTAATTTTCCTCAGACTCCTTTATATACCAGCTCAAAGTCAGCGACTTTTACCAGGATTTAGCTGACGTGGACGCATCTAGCCTGCCCAAGGATCACCCTTGTTACTCAACCTCGAGGAAGGAGATGCCCGGCTTGTTTTCAGACGAGACCGATAGCTTCACCCTCTTTGAGATCGCTGCACTTCGATCAAAGTGTTACGCATATGACATGGAAGGCAGCGAACTCATCAAGTCTAAAGGGATCCGCGGACACGTCATCCGGAACATGGTGATGGCGGCGATGCGTCAAAACGAGCATTGGCTGGAGAGAATCGGAGCTATACGCGATGGTGAGACTCCACCGACATTATCGCTAAGATACACTCCGTACCGACAGAACGTGTCAATCCGTTCGTTCGAGCACGAAGTACGCACTTTATGTTGAAATGGTTTTAAGTTTGTACTCTTTTGAGTTTATATTACTCATCTAATAATACGAAAAATAATTTTAACATATAAAATTTTGAGCACGGTTAATAACGATAAATCAATGTAGTTACGAGCACCATTGAAAATTCTATATATTAAAAGAATAAGATTTTAAGAAAGTAATAAAAAGACACATACCCAGTGAAGCGGTGTATATACAAAATTAACCTAGTAGGCAATAAATATGGCGAATACTAGATTAATTTTAATATGATAGAAAGAATTCAAAAAATAATAATGAGCAGTGAGGGTGTCTTATACTGCCCGCCACCACTTGGGAAGTGTAGATTAATTATTTACTAATCATTTATTTTTAATATTTTGTAATGAATAAATGTGCATTTTTATACCTTGATTAAATTTAGAGTTCCCGTTTGGACTGTTATGTAACACAAAAAGGTTTACAAGCATTACTATCTATGTAATTAAATGAAATGCTGTCGAACTGAAAAATTTAAATACAAATTAAATATTGAAAACATAATTTGTAAAAATATGTATACTAGTATAAATAGTTTTAAGATTTTTTTTTTTGCTAAATAATTGTAAATAAATGTTAGTAATATACATGTAATCGTATATAGTTTAAAATGTAACATAATAAAAAAAAATTTCAATATACTTATATTTTTAATTATTAAATAAAAAAACCTTGTGTTGTATTTGTAATTGTTTATTTATTTAACTAAATGTTTTATTACAATAAAAAAAAATGTATGGGTACTTTCTATGATATCGATTGAATCTATTCATTTATTATGTGAATTATCCAAACCAACAAACTTGACAAAACATCTGTGTTTATTCTTTTTAATGATCTTTTCTACTAAATAAACTTCTGGAAACTGTGTCTTGCTAAGTTCGTGCTCACAAAAACAACCATTTATTGGTATGTTGTTTTCATCTATAAGTTCGTATACGATGGGTTTTATATCACGAATTTTTGCGATTGTAAAGACTTCCGATGTCCAATTTTGTGTATATCCTTTTGAAAATACTGCTTTATGATTACTCAGACGAACTTTATCTCCAATATTCAACTTTTTATTGTATTTTAAATTAGGTAGCCGTTTAAAACTGGCATTTCCAGGATTACGTGATGCTATACTAGGAGTTGTTCCTATGACACTATGTTTTGTAGTAATGGAAACATCATATAATGAAGACCGCAGAATGAAATTGCACTATTTTTCCTATCAACCGTTTTCAGTTAGCGCACTATCAAATAATAATGAGATACGAATATGTATTCAACAGCAAGATGTTTACACCCTTCCATATAATTCCTATCTTTTGATGGATGGAAAACTCTCGGGAGTTCCTACCGGCTTAGATATACAATTGGTTAACAATTGGCTAGCTCACTGCTTTACCGAAATAAGATATTTATTGAATTTAATAGAAGTAGATAGATTACGTATGCCTGGGATAATGTTTACAATAAAAGGAAACATTACAGCATATTGCTTAATTGTACACGACAAAATGTTTGAATATAATCCTATGACTAATGATGAAGTTCAAAAAATATTATGTTTTTTTTTAAAATAATGTAAAACTCTTAATTTATAAAATACTAAAAATTACTTAAATATATATTTTGCTATTAAAAAAATGTGTTATTTATTTTAGTACCTTATCCTTATTATATTTCATTTATTTAGTACATAAATCGAAAGCAGATAGTTTAAATAATAAAATGTATACGAGAGTGATCGTTACTGTACGGTGGTACCTGTGATATTGGAAATGTGCTAACCTAAGCGTCTATTAGCCAATGATAAAATTCTTAAAAATGATATTTATACATTTAATATTAATAATACATAGAAAGCGTCGCAATATTTTTCCATAAAATTACAGACGCTTATGAACGACATAATATAATGATTAAGTAAAATTATAACTATATTAAAAATATTATTAATTTAAAAAACTAAAAAATATTAATATTATAAAATATTTTATTATATAATATAATGATACCTTTAGTGTCGGAAATATGCTTAACTAAGCGTCTGGTAGTCGAAGATAAAATTCTTAGAAAACGTTATTAGTTTACGTTGGGTTTCGTTGTTCCCATATGCTATGGGAATATACTACTGCGATCAAAAAGTAAGGTAAAATTGTTTATAAAATGAAAATTCTTTATTTATTCTTTTAAATCAATTTCTTCCCCTTCAAAATAATCCTCGCCCGATAAAATGCACTTTTGCCAACGCTTTTTCCAGTCCTCGAAACAATTGAAATAGTCGTTTTCCGATATAGCCTTCAAGACCTTCTTCGATTTGGTTTTTATCTCCTCAATCGTATAAAAACGGTGTTCTCGCAGCGGTTTTTTTAATTTGGTGAATAGCCAAAAGTCGCATGGAGCCAAATCAGGCGAATACGGTGGTTGCGGAACGATATGAGTCGAGTTTTTGGCCACGAGAACCAATGCATTATGAGATGGCGCATTATAGTGATGAAAGAACCAAGATTTGTTCACCTATAATTCCGGCCATTTCAAACGAATAGCTTCATGCAAATGACGCATAACACTCAAATAATACAATTTGTTGACAGTTTGACCCGGCGGTAAGAATTCATACAGCACCATACCACGATAATCAAAGAAAACTGTCAACATTATCTTGATTTTTGATTGACTTTGCCGTGGTGTTTTCGGTCTTGCTTCACCTTTTGTACGATATTTGCTAGATTGGTCGGTGGTTTTAGGGTCGTACGCGTAAATCAAAGTTTCGTCTCCAGTAAAGACACATTTCAAGTGGTCCTGATAGTCAGACAATAAAGTTTCACAGACATCAACGCGACGCTTTTTTTTTTTAAATTGAACAATTTTGGTATTAATTAAGACTTGACGGGTTTGAGACAAAATATCCTTCAAAATGGTTTTTGCTGAGTCAAATGATATGCCAATACTATCTTAGAGGTCTCTAATTGTCATTAGACGATTCTCAAGCACCAAATCTTTGATTTCTTGGACGTAGCCTTCATCGGTAGATGTTGATGTTCGTCCAGAGCGCGGTTCGTTTTTATCGCGTTCTCAACCCGCTTTGAACTGATTGTATCACTTATAAATGTTTTTTTGTGCCATAGTTTGATTACCAAAGGCCATCCGCAACATTTTGAACGTGTCTGCACAAGAATATTCGTTCTGCAAACAAAATTTGATGCAAGTTCTTTGCTCAACAAAAACACCCACTGTAAAAATCGAAAAATTCACTTTTGGATGTTTAAAAAAACGCGTATAACTTGGATGTTATTAAAACTATTAACTAACAGACAATTTGGCACATGTCAACAAGGACGTCCTACCTACCTAAGAAAAAAATTTACCTGCCTTCATAATGCCTGGTAGTTTTAAATGATAATTTCCCTTACTTTTTGATCACAGTAGTACATTAAATTGGTTATCTTAATACTTAAGGTAGAAATAGTCTAGCCAGCTATCCCTTAAGCTACTGTTGACGGTCACTTAAATATAGCCATCTAATGAGCGACCTATTAGAATACTTTCTGTCGTCGTCGGTAGCACCGTAACTGGAAATAAAATGTTCCTTATTAAAAACGTCAATCCCCCTTTTTACTTATCTCATTTTTCTTTATATATTCTTGTTCCCACCATTATTAACTTTATTATTTTACTTAAGAAATTACTTACTACAGTATTAAAAAACTTATACTATACTAATATGAGAGTTTGTTTAATACATTTTCTCTATAAATTTGTTGTAGAATTCATGTTCGAAATAGCATTAGTAATACGAAATTGATGCTACACTGACGGTTAGGATTGTTCCTACTTGTTAAAATGTATGTTATTTTTCTTCTTTATTTTATATTTTTTTTTTGTTGTTATTCATGAAAAAACTGACAAAACTTTATTTATATTTAAATTATGGAAGCTTTCAATTATCTAAATCTTGATCTATCTATTTCTTTTACTTCACTCTTATTTTATTCAATTATTTTACTTTTGTAGCGATTTTGTTACCAAGTCACAATCCATATGTTTTTTTTTTACATTTTTAAGTATATTAAAACTCAATCGTAACAACTCATCGTATAATAGTAATCGGTACTAACAACTTACCATACATGGTATTCATATAATACTTTGATTGCTGTACAAATTTTTAAACTCTTAATGGCTATAATTAAAGATTAATTTTTTAATTTAGATTTTTGATTTTACAGTATGATTTGATAAGAATACTAACCTTCATTTATTTAATAAAAGATATAGATTTAAATTTGATTTATTGTAAGAAATAATTATTTCTTACAATACACTTGATAATAACTACGGTTTATAAAAATAAATCAAATTTACATCTTACATTTTAATGAAAAAATGATAATTTTAAAAAAAAACAGCAAAGCTCCACAGACCAATTAGTATTGTTGCAGACAAATCTTAAAAATCTCAGAATTATTTTGTAAAAATAAGAATCTAATTAAAAAAAATTTGTACAAATAAGAATAAAAACTACGTATCTTCATAGAACTAAACATAACATAACTAATTATAAAATCTTCATAAAAATTTATCTAAAGATCTTTTATTTTTTGATAAAATATTTTCCTACAAGATTAATTATATACACTTTCTCATTATCTTTAATATTTAAAAAGTAACATACACCAAGCTGTATTTCTACCCATTTAAAGTATATAACAATCACCTAGATGACTCTAAATGACCTAGATGACTTTTATTGACCAAATAAAAAAATTTAGAGAGTAAATATCATTGAACTTTTAAATTTGGTCAAATAAGGACCATCCTAATAATCAGCAATTATTAAATACTACTAAATGTTAATCTAAATATATAAACAAAGACAATTTAATGTTATATAATGTATAAATTCTATTAAATTTGAACAATGCAATTCTAGGAGAATTAATAACTTATTAATTAATACTTAAAAATAAATAAATATAACATCATACCCTTTACATAAATTGCCTGACAGCTATTTATGGTTATGCCATTTTAAAATACAAAACAAAAATTATAATGTGACAATTTTGTAAGTTTTTAAATTATTAATATATCCAAAAATTCTATATTTAATTGTTTACTTAAATTGTCACATAAAAAAATTCTTTTTCTTATACACTATTGTATATAAATAAACAAATTAATTTATGAAATACTAACTTTAATAAAGTTGTTGGATAAGAAAAAAAAATTGACTCTAAAACAGCACCTTAATTTTTGACTAAGTGCATTACAACCTAGTATGAACAACATAATATAGAAAAAATATAACAAATATTATTTCCTAATATCCATATTGCATTTTACTTCAATCATTTTACTGATATTCTCAGCCCTGATTTTAAATTGATCAAATAAATCATGTGCCAACTCTTCCTTGGTTGTGTACCGACATTTTTCAAAGTTGAACATATCACGCATTAATTCAATAACTTGATCCTATAAATACATAAGTAAATGTATATATCCATATATATTATATAGCTTTCAATACATAGTACTATTATAGCTTAATTATCTTTTGTTATTAATTTTAAAAAAGGGTGTATGAGAATCAATCTGAAACTGTGGGTACTAGTACTTAATTTAAGTTTTAAATCATGGTTATTACAATAGATGTATGTCCCAAGTTAATTTATATACTGCCTTTTCAAAATTTTTTTTTAAATGAAGATCAATATAATAGAATATAAAGTTCTTTTATACTTGAATATTTAGCAATATGTCATTTTTTTAGTTGATCTTTTTTATTAAAAATTGATGACTAAAAAAAGGTCATTAATACAAAAAGTAAGTTTCATAAAATCCAAACAGATTAATTCTTGAATTTTTAATTTTGAAAAAATGTTGATTTAAATGTAGTGGCCAGCTTGAATATGCTTTTTAATCATCATTAAATATGGATGCAATAGATCATTCAGTAACAGTCTTAACGCTAATTTTCAGTTGCACTATTTGAATTTAATAATAACATATCTTGCTTTTAACTAACTCTATCTGCCATGATAAGATTATGTCAGGCTGACAATCAATGTAAAAAATCTCTCAAATCATTGTAAAGTAAAGCTGACCCCAAATAGCTAGGATAGAGACTATGGATATGATAATAAATCGTCACTGAACACCTGTGTGTAAAAAAAAAGTCATGGAAGACCTTCTAACCTCTTACTCCACTGCTATGTTATGGTCTGTCATCAAATTTCTAGTGTTAAAGCTGCTCAAATTTTTTGGATATACATCAAGTAGAAAAAGATATAATTTTTGACCATTTAGTTACTGGAAACGAGACCCCTAAAACAAAACAAGCAGAGCCTGGTTTGGCAAAAAAAAAGAAGATCCTTTTCCAAGAAAAGCCAGTTATTTATTCAACTGGCAAGGTAATGGCTATAATTTTTTGGAATAAAAAGGCATTTTACTTATTGACTATTTTCCTAAGGTAATAATAGATATTTTGAAATTTTAAAGAATTTAAAAACAGCTATTTAAAACAAACAGTGTGGAATGTTGGTGAAAGGAGTGTCAACATACTGGGTACAGTAATATTATTTGAGATAATAGTTTAAAATGTATTTTCACTTATGTTAGTATAGTACAAGGTTAAAAGGTACACATTCCTTTCTCGGTAATTTAATTTTACTCAATGCAGCCTATTGTATAAATATTTAAGATTTAATCATTGTTCACCGTCTATAAACACCTACACATACACATATGAGTATGTGTTTAGCGTTGATAATGGTAACATTGTTTCCGAAATACGTATCCGCGACTTTTCATTAATTTTTTTGTGGCTTTTGAGTTTAATATTTTTAATATTTTTTAGTTTTTTTAAATTAATAATATTTTTAATATAGTTTTAATTTTACTTAATTAACTAGCCACAAGTGATCAATTTTTATTATATTTTTATTATTAATACACTTTTTTAATAATCTACTTGTTTTTAAAGTGAAACTTTTATTTATAAAAAAATATTATAAATTCAGTGATTATTCATTTTTAATTAGTAAATTAAATTAAAATATAATCTTTACCTTAAAATATAAGCAAATACGCGTTAATTCTTCATCTGGTCCTAAAAATCCCCATGCAAGTAGTGGTGACATTTGCTCAGAAATATTATAAAAGTGATGCATAAACCCATTAGGATATTTCAATTTACTTCGTTTTGCACGTAATACTGACCATACTGCAGTTGACAATGCCTAAAGAAATGATTAAAATAAGATTTAAAATTTATCATAAAAATGAACTTAGAAAATTTTAAAAAACTTATAATAATTATTTGAAAACTAATGTATTTATATTCAATGTAGAAAACGATCACAGCGAATATTAAGTTAATCACTTAATTTTGAAGACTTTATTTTATAATGTCTTTAAAATTATGAAAATATACAAAAAATAAAATAATAATGTCTAGTTGTATAGATGCATCTGAAAAAGCTTTAAGCTAGGATAATGAAGAGTTTTTTGAAATTTACATAAAAAAATACATTTTTGGGGTACTCTTTTAAAAGTCAATAATCATTGGCAATTAAAAAACATATAAATAAGACATTTCATTATTTTAGATTTTCAGCTAAAGTTATAGGAACTTAAATGACTACCATATTATTACAAGCTTAATATTAACTTACAGTTTCTTTGAAGCCTTTAGATAACCATCTGTTTTGAATTACAGCTATAACGGAGGCTGGGGGAGATTCAAGATCTTCAAAAGCATCCATCAATATGTAATCCATTACTATATCGTAAAATGTCATTTTTTTAACCCCACGTGAAGACAGTTCAGCTTCTGCATCTTTCCAGTGTGATTCTGTTTTTGCCCAACATAACATTTCTTCAAAAGCTAACAAAAAATCTTTAGGATCCTATAATTGTTATTCAACTGTTTTTTTACAAATATCATAATTTTCATTGTTTATAATATTATATTACTTTTTCAGCAAATAAAAAGATATCTGTCAATATACGTCTTCCGCAATCTGCAAACCAAATAGAACTAAAGTCCGTTTTGAATAAATTTTCAAATGCTAGACGAATGCAGTATAATTTACAGACATATTCTTTATCTGAAACGCAATTCACTAAAGTTGTGCGGTAGGTCCTAAATTAAAATAAGTTCAGTTATATTTAAAATAATGTTCTTTCAGTTGTTTCATTTAAAAAATGGATGCACTGATTTTTAAACAACAGAATATTACCTGCAAGGAATAGTGTTGTTTTCGGCAAACCTTAAAGCAATCTGATAAAGATAATAATTATCAAAGTTGAGTTCTTCAAATTCTTTTAAGTTAGCTACCTAAATTTGAATATAGTTCTTGAAGTTATTATTTCTCAATTTTTTTTTTATAATTTCATACTTATTTTAATTATAATTAATTTAAAGGTATTATTAATATAACTAAAATATTTATTAAATATAGACAATATTTTTTAATGAAAAATAAATATAGACTTTCTTACATCTGTACGAGCAGATACAAAGCTGTCAACAGATGAACGGCGTTCATTATAGTTTTGTAAAAGATCAACATCTCCATTTCGATGAACTCGAAATAACACTGACCTCTAAGTTCAAGATAAACACAATTAAATATGATTTTATAAGAATATTTTCTTTTTTTAATCCTGTACTTGATCAAGAAATAGCAATTGACACTGATCTTGCAATGAATATGCTGAATCTACAAGTAGTTGAAGTTCCTTGCAAAACTGTGCGTCTTCTGTAGACATTAGCTTATTAGTTGAATTTCCAGTTGTAAATGCAGATAAAGCATCCTCCCAAAATGATATACTGCAAGCTAATGATTCCATTCCTCCAAAATAAAATGTTGTTTATTAGTTTATAAGTATAATAAAAATATACTTTCCATAGCTTTAGTAAAAGTCTTAATATAATTTACAAAAATTATAAAACTAAGTATACTAAGTATTAATATATACAGTGATTATATCATTATTAACCAGTAAATTAATTAATAAAAAAATAAAATGTTATGAATGTTGAAATTTTTTTGTTTCATTTAGATACATAATTTTCTCAATTTATCAATGATAGAGTATTTTATAAATTCATTCTTTATACTTTAAAGGGATGTCAACTTTATCTTTCAAATGACTACACATATATTTTACATATATATTTAATTGGTTTGTTTATATGACAATGATCTAATAAAACAATTGATTGATAAAAAATTTTTAATTCAGTATTTCGGAAGTTATTAATATTTCTATACCCAAGGGGACGAGGAGTGTGGCCTAAAAATGTCTAGTGACAAAAATAACAAAACACCATATTTCCAGCCATTACTTTAAAACGTTAATAATTTGAATTACTGATCCAAAATTTTTTAATGACCAATCATTTTCTTAATTAGATTATCATCTAATAAATAAATAAGCTACATGTTATCATTTGAAAAATAAATTTGTCACACATAAGGGATGAAGATTTAAAATACTTTATGATTAATTGAGAAAAACATTTAACTAAAAGAAAAAAAATTCTTAATATTCTATTTATTTTTTAATCAATCAAATGGATAATAATAAAAGAATCACCTGTATATATTGCAACAAATGTAATTAATACATATATGAAAACATAATTTTATCAAATATTTTTGAGAATAATTTTTAACATTACATAATACTGAATTCAGTAAATAATTTACAAAATGAAAAAAGTGGATTATTGTTTTTAAACGCTTAAGATGTGACATTGTAAAAATTTATTAATAATTTAACAAAGAGTAAGAAATGTCTTTTTTATTTGATCTAAAGCTATGACTACTAGGTCATTAGATTCAGTAAAAAATTTTTTTAAGTAAACTTTATATTTGATTAACAAAGGAAAAACTTTTAAATTAATTGATTATAGTAAAATGTGTGATTCAATCACACTCACTAATAGCTTTGAAAGATAAATGCAGTAACTAACTACATTAATGTACATTAAATATTTTAACTTTAAATATTTTTCAATGAACAACAAGACTATGATGATAGGAACTAGTGTTAATCTTAAATAATTGAACTTTGAATACCCATTACTCCAAGCTGTTGAGGCGCTGTGTACTTAACATCAGATTTATTATTAGGTGAATCTTGAACTGATGAAATAACAGAGGCTTGTCGATTAGATTTAATACTAGGACTTAGTGATCTATGACTAGTTCTAAAAATTCTGAAACTAGATACTATAAAAGTATTGAATATTAATATATATTATCTAGATTTACAAATTTTTATATTAACTATATACCTGAAGGTATTATATCAACATTTGGTTTCTGCCTTTCATAAATCAAATGTTTAATAACAGGCGCTGATTGTTTAGGAAATTTTTTTCTCTTCCAAAAATTTCCAAAAACTAAAATTATTGTTGTACTAACTGCAACACTTAATGAAACTGATACTTGAAAGAGCTAATAAAAAAAATTAACAACATAAATATAATTGTTCAATTAATAATAACTATATTCTTTAGTAAAATTTCAAAGTAAATACTCATATTACAGATGTGCAAAGTGATTCACTTTTATTGATCATATTTTTTATAAAGTACTTTTTTTTAATTTTAATAACTTAATTAAGCTTACCCTACATATAAAATTAATTATAAATAATTCTTAGAAAAAATTAATATTTTTTAATAATTAGAATTAGATAATTAAAAATACTTGAATCATAATATGAAAATATTCCAATAAATTAAACAATTTTTTGTTTATAGAACTTAAAAATGAAAATGACTAAGAATAGTTAGACGTATTTACAAAATAATAACAAAGTAGAATAAAATAAAAATGGAAGTATTTGATTAGAACATTGGTATAGAATATAATATAAAATAAACTAGCAATTTTAACTTTTAAATTTACAAATAAAAATATTTGATATATTTTTTCAATTTAAAATTTGTCATAGTTACACACTGATATATTTTCTCGTGACTACTGAATTTCTATTTACTGATTAAAAAAATACGATAAATCATATTTAAAACTTACATGTTCTGAAACATATTTTTTTACAAGACTAGTGAGTTTAGTCACAGAGTATAAAACAAGAGCTGATTTTTTTCCACACATAATTATTAAATTAACCTGGAGATATAGTCATATTAACTAAATTATAGAAAATAATTTAATTCTAATTCTATTAAGTAGTTCCCTGTACATTGTTTAAATTTTAATAGAAATTTTAAAGACAGTACTTCTAGATACAATTTGTAAAAGCATGATATTTTTATCATACGGTAAATAGTAATAAAGTTGATAACGTACAATTATTATCATTATTATCAATAATTACTAGCGCTTTTATCATTGTCACTTTTAATAATTGTTTCTAACCAATAGTTATATGTAAATATTTTTATATACGATAAAATGTCATAGTACAGAGTATACAATATTAAACATTATATTTTTAGTAACAATTTTTTCTACAAATGATAAAAAAAAGAAATTAATTCGCATGTCTTGTAGCGTTTTAAATGACTGAATTAGTAACTATTCATATTATTTGCCAATTAATACATTTTTAATGTCTATAACATAATCACGATTAACTATTCTGATTGGAATGTTATAAGTGTTGAAGCGGCATTTGTATGGAACTAAAGTACTAGTAGTAAATGACCTTTTGTTTACACCAAACTAATATTTTTTGTTGAACTTCGAATGCCGTTTATAAATAAAAGACAAGGTGTCGGAAATTTTTTTTTTTAGCTTATAGTATGTAACATGAGCCTTACTTAAACATATTATTAAAGTTCAGAGTATTTATGGAACATTTTCAAAAGTTAAGTTAAAAAAGTTCTACTTTTTTTACGTATGTTTGAAGTTTTAATCCCCTGTATAATGGGAAATTATGTGATTTAAAAAAATAAGTATTTCAATTAAAACGGTTATGTATAAAGTCCTTTTTCTTATAAATTCTTATCCTTAACTTCCATTAGACACGATTTCTTACATCATCTAGGTACACATCAGCCGTCCTCATACCGCATTCAATAACATCTCTCCATCCCTCTTTTGGCCTTCCTCTATTTCTTCTTCCCACAATATTCATTTCCATAACTGTTGTTACAACTTCCGACTTCTCACAACATGACCATACCATCTAAGTCTATTTTCTCTCATCTTATCTACGATTAACACTACACCTATACTCCCTATAATATGCTCGTTCCTATCTTCTCTAGTCCATCTAAACAATCTCATCTCTGCTCTATTTTCTTGTTAACTACCCAATACTTTAAACTATGCATCATAGCTAGTCTCACTACAGTCTTATAGAATTTACCTTTCAGCCTCATTGGAATTCTTTTATCACATAAGACACCAGACGCTTCTCTCCAACTCAACCACCCGCACTTAATACTATGTCTTATATCCTCGCCAATACTACCACTCTTTTGCACAACTGATCCTAAATACTTAAACATTTCCACTTCTCCTATGACGTCTTCACCTATTGTCATTGATCTCCTCATTTTGTCTACCTCGTATTCACCTTAGTCAAACTCATAATCTATATACTCTGTCTTACTTCTACTTATTCTTAAACCCTTTACTTCAAGAGCTGATCTCCACACCTCTGGCCTTTAAATAATTTCCTCCCGATTTTCTCCTATTAACATTATATCGTCAGCGAACAACGTGCACCACGACACCTCTCCTTGTATTTCTCTATTAATTCATCCATCATTAAGGAAAATAATTAAGGGCTTAAAGCAGAACCTAGGTGGACTCCTACTCTTTCCCTAAAATCTTCTGTGACCTTTACCCAGGTACAAGTGTCAACATACATTTACTCTGTTATATTAATATACCTTTTTGGGAATCTTTTTCTCATTAATGCCCCCTTTAAAACCTCTTTCAGTATTCTATTATACGCTCTCTCCAAATTTATAAATACTATACACATAATTTTCTTCTTTTCCTTTTACTTTTCTACTGGTTGTCTCACATTAAAACCTGGCTCCGTTGTTGACTTGTATATGTATAAAGTACTCATAAAAAATTTGTATTGATTCATAAATTTTTCGAAAAATTTAAAATAAATATTATCATAGAATATAAAATTTTTCAAACAATATAAACAAGGAAATGACTTGTTGAGTTGCTAACAGATTCATATAATTTATAATAATAAAATAGTTAATATTCAGGTCAGGACTAGAAGACTAACGGTTCAGGAGGCACAATAATTATGGTGACTCAATTTCCTCCAAGAAAATTTTGTATAGCTCCATAAAAATAAATTTTACAAACCAAATTATACTAATCATAGCGGCCCTACTCGTCGCTTTATTAGCAGCAGTTCAGGGAACAATTACTACATTGCACCTGTGGCCAAATCACCTCATCAACATTTATTCATAGAATATATACCTTAAATAATTACTGATAAATCAAAAAATACACAAAGTGTCCCATCAGGTTTAGACATATTTAATAACTTTCATCAGTTCACTAAATAAATTTTGTTAAATTTTTTTTTCATTTTTACAGTTTTGAAATACCTTAAAAATATATTTATTATTGTTAAATGCTAAGATAACTTTTTAAAGGATACAGTAATGTAGTGATAATTTACCAAGGAAGTTATTAACTTATTATGTCATATTGTATAACCAGTGAAGAACTAAAAGCTATCTTAAGAAATAATGTAAAAAAGTTTATTTTAAAACAATATGAAATCACAATTCACATAATTAACAATAATAAAGCAATAAGCATTTAATATTTCTTAACAATAAATAAAAATGTTGTAATTTGTAACAACAATGTAAAAGTATAGATGGCGTTATATGCTAGAGATGATATATATTTCAGAAAATTCTTTTTAAAATATGATGTTGAGAGCATTTCTCATGGGAAATAATTTCGAGAAGATTAAAAAAAAAATTTCTTTTCTTTTCTTAAAAATATCCCGTTTTTTATATAATTATAAGTCAAATAGTTATTTGTTTGTATTTAACCATTTACACATCAATAGCCTTCTCATATTTACATACCTGACATTAATATTATTTTATTAAACGCTGTTAATTATATATTTGGGGTTTACACAGTCTACCAAATGTGACACGTAACAATACTTTAAGTAACATTTAAAGTGGAAATCAGAAAAATTCTTAGCCAAAGAGTTACTTAAGAAGTGAATTTATTTTAGGAGCGTAGACGATATTGATATTTTTAGTTTTCTCTTTGCATTGAAATGACTTTTTGAAAATAGATCGTTACGAAATTTGTATTGACAATATTTTAGACATTTATCTTGTTCACGATGTTAATGTTTAATTATCCAAAAATTAACCAAAGTACTGGGAACAGGTTTAAACATCATATCAAATTTTTTATCTTTTCAATTGACAATTTTTAAAAAACTTACGTTCTTTAAACTTATGTTAAATTAAAGTTAAAACTATTTATTTTGAGATGAAAAAAGAAAAACTATCCAAAAACTCAATTTATAAGAAACATTAGCCTTTTTAGTCCTAAAATCCTATAATTTTCCGTAAAAATGGGCAATTTTAAAGTGTTTTACATAACAATAAAACATCTACATCTTACAAAATTTAATTTAATTTAAGTTTTTTATGTACTATATAATTTAAAAAATGACGTTCTGACTTTTTTTTTATTATGAATTATTGACTTTGAATTACAAATTTTCCGTAACAATTTATCTAATTATTTATATCACTAACTTTTTTTTTAATTCACAATGTCAGTAAATATTTTATCAGTATTTTATCAAATAGTTTCTTGGGCCTACCAATAGCCCAATCCAACCAAGCCTCCAACTATCTCTTACCTACGACTCCAATTGAACTATTTTTGGTGAAAAAAATGTTGAAAAATAATTAAATTACGATAAAATCAACAAAAAACAAAGACTAATGAATCAAGTAATTCTTATGATAACGCCATTGATTGTGCGTTTATATAACATATAAACGTACAATCAGGGCTACTTTAATTTTAAAACATGTCTGCACAATATCATCTTATCTGTGATAGTATAGTACAAAAAATCATGACTTAACACTACCCCACTCTTAACCATATTTAAATATTTAAATACTTAATTAATAACTAATACTATTGTTAAACATATTCCGTATAGTAATAATTATTGATAAACCTATGGCCAAAATTATTTAAACATTTAAAAATAATTTTTTTTAATCTGTATTATTTTTTGTATAAACAATTTAATTTACTTAAATAAATTTAATATAATCTGTATAATTATGTAAATTGCGATAATATATTATCATTTTTATTTTTTAATTTATTGTTAATATATTAAATATACGACTATTATATCAATGTAGTTATAAATTAATATCGTAATTGTAAACTTTTTATAATCTTGGTTTGTATTTGCTTGTTATTGTTAATAGTTTTAGAGTGTTTTCGATTGTCTAGGAGACTGTCACTGTTAGTCACAAAATTAGACTATGATGATGATATCTATAGAATTCATGATTTTATAAAAATATACCATAAATTTCAGCTATTACAATGTAATTTGAGTTTAATAAGCTTGTCATTTACGAGTAATTGGTACTCAAAGTTACAAATGTTACATTTTTTATAAAAATTAACAATTTTCATTAAAATAATCATCATAAATGTGTAATGCACATGATGAAGGAAAAATATATTTATTTAGATATATTTAAAACACTTGAATGCAAAATAGTTCTGAATAAAGTAGAAGGTATGGGAATTACTGATTCTACACTATCCTTCTTAACGCCCTATATTAGTAATAGAAAACAAATGGATTCTGTTATTAATGAATTTTTCATAAAATGTAGAGTATATACATACATTTATTAAATAAACACAATTCATATTCATATTCGTATTCGTATTCATAAAATAAGTGGAAACAATATTTTGAAATGAGTTTTTTTTTTTATAGAACTCACTTTTTTAACTAATAAATTATAAATTTCATATTTATAAAATGCAGTTTAACAAAATTTACATTAATTTATTTTTATATTTATTTAATAGTGCTATTATTATTTTTAGAGATTTAACTTCATAAATTATCCATTTTTTATAATTAAGCCAGGGTGAGAAATTGCAACCGGATTTTATTATTGAAAACAAATTGATATTGAGATTTTTGAAACTATACAATCTACTTGGGTTTTGAGGAAAATTATTGAACAGTCATATTAAAAGATTTTTTGGAATTAAACCATTAAAACCATTATGTTGTTTCGGTTATCTTATTTTAATTAATCGAAAATAACTTGGTATCTCCAATTTTTACCACCGTGTTGTTATTTTATACTGTATATATTTTTTACGATTAGGTAATGCTATCAATTAAAAATATATTTCATTTCTTTCTGGTCAACTTTCCCATGCTGGTTAGTTTGTTTATCACATCAGTACTTGACCCAAATATTTATTGATTGTGCACATATCGATCATTTATATGTTTCTTAATTATTAAAAATCGTATATTTAAGCTGAAAAAATATACATAATAACTTGTGGTAAAATAAACTAGTGGTTAGATACCACACACAAGATACTTTATATTCTATAGGCGGCTCTAACAGTAGCTAATATGCCACCGCACCTCTTTAGGTGTTCTATCCTCCACCATATTCGTATCCAGACGGCGCGTGTCGCCTACACACAAGAGAGTTGGCGAAACGTTGGCCAACGTTACACACCCTGACAGGTGCACAACGCGTTTTCATTGCCCCCTCTGTCGCCTCTCCGTCTTGCATTTCAGTATATATATATTATATTTATAACGTTCATTTTTAGCTTAGTATTTATTATGTGTATGTATTATATCGGACACCAGAAAGTGAGGCAATCTGTGCATCGTGCCAGAGGCTGTGGTGGTTATGTCTATAAAAATTCATTGTGCAGTACCCATACTCAGGGGAGCTAGGGGAGTGACAAGAGAAGGGGACCACGAACAGCAGATGCATCACAATGGACCTATTTGCGTACTCCGGCGTCGTTGATGGCAGGTGGGCTCGCAACGGACTCAGGATGCAAGGTACAGCTTGTTGGGTATCGTGTAGTGGGGGACGCACGTCGGCTGTACAAACTGCATACGGAATCCACCGGCCCCCTATACATATCCTACATCTTGTGCGTATACAATATTATTAGGGAGACTGCGGCCGTAGAAGGGGGAATCCTTTTATGAATGTGCAAACCTGAATTCAATCACTGCAGCAACGGACTATATCGCAGACCCTTATTATAGGACCGGGAGGAGTGGGGTGCTCGTGCCGCGTACCTATAACATTATATTATACACACACATGTAGGTACAGCACGGCAGCTGCTAGTGTGTGTGTGTGTGTTATGGGACGCCGCCGCCGCCGTCGTGGAACAATACCGGTGCACCGGGCTCGGACGGAGAAGGTAGAGGCGGCGTTATGCGCCTGTTAACCGTACAGCACGCGCCGTACGCGGAATAACACACGCGCCCGGTGTTTGCAGATGTGCCGTTGCGGTGGTGGCGTCGACGGGTGGAAGGGAAACGCACTGTGTACACGCTCACTTTGCACCTCTTCTGTGCATTATTGTGGAACTCGCGCGCGCGCCAACGCCCCCGTCCCTCTTCCTCTGCTTTGCACAGATTTTATGTAACAATCGTGACATTGGAGGCTGCGCTATTTTCTGTTACAATTATGTATACAAAATTATTATGCGCAATAATACAATATACGGGCCGTTGCTACCGTTTAAGTCACAGTTGCCAAACGTACACCTGTACCGTTCTTCTGAAAGCGCAAAAAAAAAGGTTATCGATTGATTTCGTTTATCAAATATTTGATGCTTTTTCATATTTATGTGTTTATAAATAAACATTTCAAGTTTAATCAAAATATGTTACAAATCAAAAATTTAAACGTATGAGAGAGGGTTAAAATTCTTGCAGAAATAATTAATAAAAGAATTAAACCTTCCTGTAGGAAAAACTAAAGATTCCTATTAGCTGAATCTAACGTTTAAAGGAAAGTGTTCGTTGAATTTAACCTTTTATACACACTCTCTGCCTCATTACCGCATACATTAAATACTTAAAATTTTGACAGTTTCTAAGCATATTGCGTCTCCTATACTTGAACCTCTTTATCTTCTATGTTTATCTCTTAAAAGCGCTTTTACCTTCAGTAAGCGACAATGAAAATGTAATTAGTCAAAAGCTTTCAAGTAAATTGTTCAGTTTAATCTACCTATAATCTATGATGATAGTTGAGCTTAAAGTTTTCAATTTTCTTTATCAAAACATTTTTCAATTAAGCCTCAAAAATATTTTAGCGTTTATAATTATATTTTTACTAACATATTCATAAATGTTAAAAAATAATACTATCTTAATAAATTAAATTAGTTAAATGTATAATGTTTAAATAACAGATTTTATTAGTTATTAATGAAGGTAATGTCAACTGTTTACTGTAAAACCACATTATGGTTCCTATAGTAATTGTTCAACATAATTTGTTTCAAAAAACCCACGCTTTATTCTTTGCGAAGTAAAGACCTATTTTTGTGCTGAGGAAGTCGCATCTCAACAACACCTGTACGCATATCCCTCTAAAGGTTTGATTCTTTTGTGTATAGCTATATTATAATAAGTATAAGTAAAAAAGTGAAATGCACTGGTATGTGCATAATGTATAAGTATAAAATTGTAGAATATTGTAGTCATGACAGCTGGGGAATTCATTTTGCCAGTGGATCATCATTGCATAAATATATTAATATGGACCAGAACAACCATTATTTTTGCATTATACGTCAACTTGGAAAATATAAAATTTATAAGTATTCTAGACACATTAAACCTTAAACAAATAAAGAAACTAGCAAGTTTGTTGATTAGTTTGTTGGCATAATTTAATATTAATTTAGCAAATCTTGTCATGTTTATCAACAAATGAATCACTGACAAGAGAAAGGCAATAAATTACAGAAACTAAATTTTACGAGAAAAGGAAAAAGTTTTTCTAAACCGCGTAGACTTTGGACAAGCGTATTTTTGTTTTCAAGTTGTAAAAAAATTAATTTTTAGACTTCATACCTAAATCATGTTATTACACTAAATATAATACTGCTAGAATAAAATAAAACAGGAAAATGTGTATTTTAAATATCTAAATACAAAACTCACGAATTATAAATTGTTCTCCAAGTATAATTATCTGGATCAAATTACTATCAATATAGTCTAATAAAGTTTTTTTACTGTTAATTCCGACTTCTAATATTCTGTAAGGATGACTCAGACGCTTCATAATTTTTGTAATTGCTATACTATTATTGTTCTGCCTTCTACTTGAGATAAAATAGGACTCATTTTTCGAGTGTAATATACCAAAGCATCTCTCTCAGTGATATCTATACAGTACAAATATACTTCAATAAATGTTGGTTCTGCAGTTTATCTGTATTTTAAAGTAAAATTACATTTTAAGAGTTATGTATGTTGTAATCATTATTTCACCAGTAGTTTATGGAATATTTACAAAAAATACTAAAGATTAACTAAAAAAGGCAAGGTATGTTTTATAGCTTATGGAAAATATTAATTTAATTACTCATTGATAATTTTTGACTCACTCAAATCAACACTGTCAATCTTTTCATCCCTTATCATTGTAAACTGGTCACCGCCATTTGCCATATACTTGGTTATGATCACTTTGTATTGACGGTCTGGTTGAATGGATTCATATAAAGGAATTCGGCATTCAGCACATCGAATAAAAGCAGACAGTATTCGTGACCCCTGGGGTTTATTCCGATCATAAGTCACTCTAAGACCTGAGAATACAACAACATAACAGAATATTTTTCATGCATCACCTATAGATGATAACTTCAAAATTGTTTTGAAATAAATAAAACAATGACTTTATTTTTACCATAAAATTAAACTTCTTATTTATTAATCGTTAATTTCATAAAAAAATTTTCTAATATAATTAAGTAAAATAAATGAACTGGTCTAATCATATTACCTCCATTTTAGTTGCTATTCGAAAAACTACATAAATATATATATTCTTATTTAGAATTACTTAAAACAAATTTTAAACACTATTAGTTCTTTACCGTGATAACAAAAACAATCACTTTCATATTTTTATTGATATTACTCATAAACAACCCAATTAAAACCACTTTGAATATAAGAAAAATTGAACTAAAATAAACATTTTTGTTGGAATAACATACCCGATACTTGCATGTAGGCCCCATAAATATTTTTTTCCGGAATAGCACATTTAGGTTTATCTAATAGCGAAGCACTGTGTTCCAGAGCTTTAACTAATGTTGAGCCGGTCACAGTTACTTTATTCAAATAAGTGTTGTATGGCAATGCGGAAGATATATTACTTTGAAATACTCCACCTAAATTATTAAATAGACATATTTTAAATCATAATTATAAATGTATAAGGATTTGTATAAAACCATAATAAAAATTACATCTATTAATAGACAAAATGAAAACCTTTAATAATTTTAAAATTAATTACGAAATTAAAATAGGATTACAAATAAAAAACGAAACACTCTTCTTTTAGACAAATTAACTTCTTTCATCTATTTTGAAATGTTAAATAACTTTTAAAATTTGGAATATAAGAAACAAGGAAAATCGCTTTTTTATTTTTAATTGTTGTCACCATTATATACAATTAGATAATCAAATAGATTTTCATAAACTCCGAAAGACGAAATTGTGTTAAAAATTTTTTATTCGTTTCTTAGATAAAATTGTTTCATTAACTTTTATCTTCGATATAAAGCTGAGAATGTTTTATCTTTTTTTTTTTTTTTTTTTGTCTATCCATGAAAATTCTCAAAACTCACTGGACGACTTTGTTGGTTTATGCATAAAAAAACACGATTATAATTTATTATAATGGAAATTACGATACTGTAAAAATGGAATTTTCAACTAACAAAATTCCGTATTTTAAAAATGCTATAAATCCTTAAAAAATACATTGATCCCAATGAAATTTTATTACAAAACAATTCCTAAAGTTAATTTTTAGTACAAGTTCCTATTTTCTAATAGATAAATTCTAAAAACTATTTAAGGCTCTATTATTAATTTTAATTAGAAGTTTCGAGTTGTATTGATAGTATAATAATTTATTTTTATGTCTCTGATGTGACTAAGATAATAAAAATAACAATCGAAAATGACGGTATGTAAAACATCAAAGTTGAAATCCGTTTTAATTAAATAATTGTCCACTATGTAAATTATTAACCTGTATTGATGGATGCTCTAATAGCACTCGATAAGATTATGCTTACGCTAGCATCGGTCCAGCCAAAATTGTTGAGTTTGTCGTTTATCAGTTGATCTACATTCTAAGCACAAAAAATCAAATATTTACTTAATACTATTAAAAATATTTTTGTCTTTTTCCATCTGACAAGAGCTACAAGTAAAATGACGAAACTCTCTGGTTTTTCAATCATTTTCAATTTTTATTAATCTTTGAAACAACTTCTTTTGACTATTAAATATAAAATAATATAGCACAATTATTATGTTATGATTTTATATTTAACACTGCATCATATTTTAACTTATCCCTAATTTAATATAAATTTTAGTTTACCCATCGAATAAAAGCGTCGGCAATAGCATTGCCCAAATTACATTCCGCACATTTACATCCTTCTCCATCTAATAATACTCTGGTTGAGCCTACTTGAATATCAGAATGTTTTTGAACTATTAGTTTTTTGTAATAATCAACTTTTTTCATTATCCTGGCGTCTAATGTAAGAGTTAAAATAATTTACTTATTAATAGATCAACATTCCACAATGCAAATAATGTAAAAATGTACATAGAAAAAGTATGCTTATTTTACTTCTAAGATTTATATTATTATTTTTTATCTCTTAAATATATCTAGCACATAAATATGATTATATTAATTTACTAGCTGAACATTCCATACATATTGTATAGGGAATTCAGTAAGTAAGAACAAAAGTGTCAACTAGTCTCATAGTTTGACACAATTGATCAACAGATCAATAAAAGTAATAAAACATTATTGCTTTTTAAACACTGTATATTAAAGTAACCTCTTACCTTGAGGTATGCTATCATCCAATAGAATAGGTTCACCAGTAGCATTAACTAATTTTCCATTTTTAAATGACAATACCATTTTACCCAAGTACTTAGTGAAAGCGTATGCTTGGACCACCGGTATGATCCGATCTCCTCTGTGCTCTATAACTGGATAAGGTCCCATGGAAGTTTCTGAATCTTGAGCAAGTCCTATATTCATTAAAAATAATTATTTCGATGATTGTTCTTATATATTATGCGATCACATTTTTAACCTTAGTGTATAGTACAAGAGATTTATACATGATTTACTACACTACCCGTGACATTACGCGCAGATCACTCACTTTCCCCTTCAAAACCGACAAACGCAACAGCTGTTACGACGTTACAGGTGATCTACCGGAATTCGACGGTGTCCCAATACACTGTTGGGAGTCTAACAATAGGGGTTGATAACCTTTATTCCTTTTTTAAAACGCCCATTTAAAGACCACACTATTATGAAATTCTGTTGTTATCCTTTAGCAATCGTCTTAGTCATTACGCATATCAAGACTGCACAATGTTTACTATTTCGATATTCAAGAAAATTAACATGTTCATTGAAGATAAGATAAACTGTTTTAGTTTTCTAATTGAATTGTTGTTGTTGTAAAAAATCTCTAAATAATACAGTTAATATTAAATTGTTCCTTTAATATTATAGGAAGAAATTTTGACACAACGCGTGCCATTCGAACAAATTATATCAACTAATAATATATAAAAATTATTTTATAAAATATATTTAAAAAAGTTTCATTTACCACTGAAAAGATAAGAGTGCGAATGACCACCAACTATCGCATCCACGCCTTCCACTTCTCTAGCCACTCTCTTATCCATTTCTAAACCTGAATGACCAATTGCTATTACAAAGTCTATGCCTTGTTCTTTGAGTTCGGTCACGACTGGTTTAAGACTTTCAATCTCGTCTAATATTTTCACTTTTCCTACTTTGTTCAAAAACTAGTAAAATAATTCAATAATTAAAAGATAATTTTAATATTAGAAATAATACTGAACTTATTCTGTTCAAACGTACCGTTGTATCAGGTGTCAAATAACCTACTATCCCAATAGTATGACCAGCTATGTTTAACACGGCATATGACTTTACTTTAGCCAAGGAAGGTACATCAGTTAGATTCAAATTAGTTACTACCACAGGTATGGTACTTATATTGACGGAATTGAGAAAGGGTACCAGTCCTTCGGGTCCATCTTCGAATTCATGATTCCCTAAACACTATGAAAAAAATAATAATATCAACCAATTCTCACTCAATAAAATTCTAAGCGACTTTTTTTCAAAAAAAAAAACAATGAATGCTGCAAACCTATTACAGTTCAAATAATCAAGTATTTTTTTTCAGTATGTTTTTGCATTTTAATTATCTTAATCAGAGTGTCTCGGCTTTAATTAATAACCCTTATAACTTTTGATCTGATATGTTTCAATTCATTTCTTTTTTTTAATTATGACTTTTTTAAAGTATGTTCAAAGAATATTTTTTAGAAATGTAGCTAAGGTAGGTGGATTCTGTACTTTTGTGCGTATACTCGTTCCGTTCCCTTTCTATGTATTAAAATGCTAGTCATTTGATAAGTACTTTTTTTAAATTTGAAAAAGAAAAATTTATTTTTATATTAGTGTTAAATTTTAAATATATGTTTTATAAGTAATATAAAAAGGCAATAACTAGTTTTGAAAACATAAAGTGAGTAAACTTTTGCTTATGAATCATAAACACTTCTCACAATATAAATGGAAAAAAGGGCTGTATCTCAAAAAAAGTAGTCTTTAGATAATCGATTTCAAAATTTCATAAAAATTACACTGCGTGTTACTTTGTTTTTAGTGTTCATTTTAAATTTAAGTTTATTTTAATGCAAATTTACTGTATTTTTAGATAGAAGATTGAATTGAATTATATAAAAATATTAAATATCATGAATTTTGATGTATTGCTCTCTTGCACTCGTAGTGCGACGTGACTAATCAACTATAGAAATAAGTTGAAATTTATTGAATTGTTTGCATTAGAATAATTTCCGTCGAGTTTCCTCGATGTCTGTTGACATTGAAAAACTGTTGTAGTTAAAAATAAGTTGATTACGGAACATAAGTCCATAAAAATATTTTGTAGCTGTCATATTGTTGTTTAAATGAAAACAAAACACTCGTAGGTAGTCAATATAGTTTTTATGTTTTACCAGAACATACAATCAGATTATCTAGTAGTGAACTCACAGATTTATTTCTGAATGACTCAAAGATATATATTTATGACATTAGTGGTTTATTTTTATTTCATGTCGTAAAATAAATGATAATTTTTTTTTTTAACACATACTTGTGTGTTCTAGAAGTTTGAATTGATTTTTATTAAGCGATTCATTTTTTAAATATCCATTCAATTGAATCTGTCTCGGTTTATTTTCACTCATTTATACTGAATAATAACTGAGGCTGTGATAGTAATTAAAAAATAGAATTTCAATGACAAATAAGAAAAATCTATAATAAACTAGTCAGCTAATTCAGACAAATCTGTTGTTAACTGTTGTGCAAAGGACCGTTTAGTGTCATTACACAAATATAAATAAAATATGTATTAAAATAACACAGTACCTTAAGAATTGCAAAACGGATTTGATTTAATTTCAAAAGTCATTTCTTTAGAAATATACTGATTGGTACACTGTGTTCAAAAAATTATATCACATCTATATTAACATGTTATTAAATGTCTATGAAAAATATACTGAACTAGGTTAAGTTAAATACTTGAGAATTCCATGTAATAAAGTTTGTTATTCATAATCTCAGTCTTCAACAATTAATTAAAAATGTTGAGTTTAGTACTATAAGGCTCGTATTTATAGTTAATTCTTATTAACAAGTTTTACTTGAGCTATTCTTATGCATGTTATTTCAAAAAGCTTAAGTTCAACTTGCCAACTTTTACTAACATATCTAAGCAATTCATTAAATGCCTTTACTTTGAGAAATATTGTATCGTTGAGTACAGATAATCTAATTAATACAGACATTTACTAAGCTCAATGATTATATTGTACTCACCATCGCGTCTATGCCGAGGTCTCCTAGGAAGTCCGCAGCGGGTTCCCACCTCATTATGTCATAGAAATCGGACCCTTGGAACGTGTCGCCAGCGTAAAGGAACAAAACTCCGGACTGTGGGCCTTCTGCTGCGACACGGGCGCGTTCTCTGTCCAGCACCCACTGCATCCTTCCGATGCCACCGTAGCCCTTACACAACTCGTCGTTTACCCGAAAACATTTGTCTGGGGCTTGACCCGTCTCTTCGTACCGTGAGTGAATGTCGTTGGCATGTAATACGGTCAGTCGAAACAAAGTGGGTCGTCGATTGTCGACATTCGCTAGCGATGCTGCTAAAATCGCGACCAGCGACCACACAACGTTTCCGATCATCGTCACGCTACTACCGTAACAGCAACGTGGGTCGTAACTGCGGGTGCTGGTTACCTTGAACATGTATTTGTGTGATAACGTATATCACACAAATAACTGAGATTACTGCAACCTATTATATGTTGTTAAAATTAAGATAAAATACTTTGGCTTCTATTGTGATAGGAACAGATTTGTCAAAGATACTGAAGAGTGTGCACAGCAATACGACACTAGTTAAGTATCAAATAAGATACATAAAGTAGTATTAATTTACAGTAAAATACTCAAAAACAAACGCAAAAATTACAAGCTATAAATAATTGTTATTTGCTGAATTGTTTTTTGTTTATTTACTGAATACTATTTGTAAGACAGAATAATTCGCGACATATCACATAAATAGCTTATTTCTGTTTTTACAGTTAATATGCTAAAATGACTTCCACGATTCTTATACATAATATATATTGCACTTTTTTAGTCTTTAAACAACAATTATATTTTATTTTAATAATGTTAATACATTTATCTAAATATTTTCAAACAGAAAATTTGAAAATTACTAAATAGAGCAGTAATTTATTATATTTTTGTCCAAGATGTTTTTTTTATTATATCTAACATTTTGCTGGTTATATTGATTGTAATTGTACTGCCGTGACAAAATTAATTTGTATTATGTGCACTATGCTTTTTTTTTTTATCTAATTACTTAAAGAAGACAGTCACGAATTTATAACAATACCAAAAATTGCATTTTACTTACACAGTCAAAAAAGTTTGATCGACATGTTGCATGTATTTTTTTTTTTTTTTATAAATACTGTAATATACTAATTACACTTCATCGACTCTATGATCTTTGCTAATTATAAATGTCATCGACGACCAAATCACGTACAAATATTTAAATACTACTATTATACGTGCGATTGAATAGGCACGCTCGATTCAGAACGTATAACTTCCATTCATATGTATTATAAAAATTATTAATATGTATGAAACAAAATAACGAAAATTTAAATGCCTTAAGTAAATTAAAATAAACCCCTCTGGACGTCATTTAACATGCAAACTAATAGTAATTATTGATTTTTTTAAAACATTAACAACTCATTTTTAGAAGCCTAGTTTAGCTTGAGCTTAGGCATGTGACATGCGCCTATTTAACCATTTTTCTTGATCATAAATTAATGTTGGTCTTTTTATGTGCATTTTAATTTGTAGAACCAGCAGATTATTTTCCTTTTCATAGCGTATTACGATCAGAAATTGTCAAAGAATAAAATTGAGAACATTTTTCCATGGCCATATTGGTAATGACATAATACCATTTAATTACCGAAATGATTTTAGTTTGTAATAATTATTATACAGTACTGGTTTTGCTAATATTTGTTTAAGTTTTATGTAATATAGTAAGCCTTTATTTTTAACAAGATTGCAACGGAAAACTACTAAATTTTACTATAGTAAAAATTTTTAATTTTCGCTAATTTACATTACTCCAAGAACCTTTGATATAACGTTTTTAAAACGACATTCTTTAATCATTACTTGGATAATTGAGTTACAATGTTACAATTTAAAGCTAAAACTATAATCTAATTATTTAAATAAGAAATTTACGGTTTAATTGTATAAAAATTACAAGTTCGTGATAGTTAACAATTATAATTTAAACTTTTTCAAGTTTATGTAAAGAAACCTTTTACCAAACATTTTTTAAATTGTGAGAAAGTGTTCCTTTTTATAGTTTCCGAACAACAATATCAGGTACTCTTTTTAAATGCTCATTATGCATATTTCACAATTGCTTCTTAGTAATAGAAATGTCTACTGGAGTAAATGGAAAACTTATTTCAAATTTATTTTATAGATTATACAAAATGCATACGTTGTACAATATTTATGTTATATTATAATATAAAATCACATATAATATGCATAGAATATATTTATCACATAATATTCATGAAAATAATTTTCTGGATGAACGATCATCCTGTTGATACATATTGTGTCCATAAACGTCAAACTTGTTAAGTGTACAACAAAATTAAATTTTACAAGATTTCAATATTATATCAATTAAATTAGAGCTTTAATGATATTCATTTACTAAAACAATCAATATAATAAAACATGATTTTTGAGTATCATTCCTAATTTTGTATCTTAAAGTATTAAAACGAAAAAATTGGTCTATTAACACATTATAGGACGACTAAACTTTTTTATTGCCAATTGGTATTTTTATAAACTCACAACAATGTTCCTTACTACCATACTTCACGCATATCTGTTTAAAAGGTCGTAATTGGCAACAACTGCTGTGTATTTACTAATAGCAACGTCATAAAAAAACAATAGGCTATTTAATTTGTAATCCCTCGTGTATTATACACGCATATTAACTAAAAATATTTGAAGTTTTTAACTTTTATATCTAATAAACGAATAAAAATTCAAATTCCATTTACTATTAAAATAAAACCTCAATTATTCTACTAAGCTCAAAATATGTGTTACCATTTGAAAAAATTAAGTCGATACTCTCATAAGGCATAAAGTATAAACTTTAACACTATTACATAACTAATATTTCGATAACAATATATAACTAAAAAAAAAACTCTTTTTATTCTATTAGTAATTAAGTGGTTTATTATAATAAAAAACCATACTGTATATAAAGATAATAGAAGAAACAATAAAAATAGTAAAATATATTTTATTTTTACTCAAGTCGTAAGATTTCTATATGAAAACACTGTATTTACGTATATATTAATCTATATATCAATGTATATAAATTAATTAAATTAAAATTGAGTCATTGGTAGTTTTTATTATAAGTCAATTGAAATAATTATGGCATTGTACAATGATAAATGTGTATTGAACTATTTAAAGGTTAAGAGTTCAATGAACCTCAACACGAATAAATAAAAGACATCGATGTGATACCGTTTATCTCTATTTAGACGCGTCCAATACAAGCATATATCCGGGTGCAACCTCCAGGGGGGGTAATAAGGATCAAAATTGTAAGGTACTCGCTTCTATACTGACGTGTGCCAGCCGTTAAGAAGAAAGAAATGACGGCGGTCTGAGGGTCCAGGCAGGTGAAACAGACATAATGTGGTTTTGCCAGAGAAAATTATGTTATCTATTATATTTTTGGATTTACAGTTCATAAAACTTTAGATGATTAAGGGGTTTATCCGGAAATTTTGTTAAAAGTATTTTAATTATATATTCAATTAAGATTTTTATTGTTCAATAATAAAAAAAAAATTCAGTTTTATAGTCATTTTCAGTTTTTAACGATTTTCTAAGAATTAGATATTATTTTTTATAATTTAATTAATTAATAACATACAGGTTACTGTACTCATTTTTCTTTTTATTTATAATAGAGATGACTTGTTAGCCTGTACACTACCGGTTCGTGTCACTGCATAAGATATTACATAAAAATCTGTACAGTGGTATATTAATCTGTAGAATCATTTCCCATAGGCTTTCATACTAGTGCAGGCAGATCCATTTTGAATCTACTTAGCCATGATTTTCATGACCGATAAAAGACCATCGCTTAACAACCTAAACATACGCATAAAATGAATAACATTGTCACCTGTGTGTGAAGGATAAAAAAGACAATGGATAAGAGAGGTTATTGAAACCATTAGGTAATTGAAAACAGAGGAGAAATGAAAAACAGAATGTAACGGATGTCTATGCTAATAAATCACATCGTTTAAACGTGTTGATGAATTACACATATTATAATGACATACATACAAAAAAAATATTGTTTTAAGCATTCAAATTACCCCATTTACGTACATTTTAAAGGTACTTTAATGCAAATAAAATAAGATTAAATTTAACTATGCAATTTAGAAATGTAAACAAATCACACGTATTTCATTCATTAAGGTTTTATTAAAAAAAAATTATACTTCGAAAAAATAAAATTGAAAATTGAAAACAATACATGTTGATATATAACAATTAATGATGTATAATTAGAAAACATATTCCACCCGCGAGACATGTCCACGTTAAGTATTAAAATTCAAGTAACTCAATACAATTTGTCTTAAAATAGTTATTGATCTTTTAATTATTTTTATGACTTCTAAAAACTGGCTATTTTGAAATATTGAAAAAATTAAATATAAAAATATTTTTAAATTTTGAACTACCCTTGTATAAAGGGAAATGATCCGATTTAAAAAAAAGTATGTCGCATAAAATAAATGTATAAATAATATTTACATAAAAAAATTGTAACGATCCATACATTTTTCAAAAAGTTATAGTAGTATAAAGTTAAAAATATAAAATTGAGAATTTTAACACAAAAATAGCATACGGTAGCCATTTTCACCATGAAGACATAATAAAATCCAAAGTTTTTTATTCCCATAATAAAGTATATTACATTAGCTTTAATTCAAGATACATAAAAGTGTCTGTATTTCTGATATTTTCAAAAGTTAAGTTGAAAAAATTAATTTTTTGCAAAAAAGTTGTCATTTTGAATCCCTTCGTGGGCAGGTAAAGGGTCAGATTTATAAAAAAAAATATGTAAAATAAGAGGTAAATATCTCATGTATCTATAAAAAAAATGTCAAAAATTACCGAATTTTTAATTTGTAATTTTTTGTTAGAGATTTTCCCCCATTTACGGGGAACGAGGAAAATTTTTTCAATTTTTGAGGGTAATGTCTTCGATTAGATTCGATTTGTCGTAACGTTAAAAGAAATCGGTTTGGTGAAAGCTGAGAAAAATTAGTAACAGATACAAATAAAAAAATAATAACAAAAACACATAGTAAAATTATTACCTTCTCAGTTTTGCATCGAAACTAACATATATGACTTTAACGTAGTCCTAGAAATTATAAATTATTAACCTAAAAGTACAATAAAATATTAATTGTATCGAAGGTTATAGAGTTGTCAGTTAGATGTATTCCACCCGGTATACAGTCGAAGTTTTGCACGCATTTCAAATTATTAAACCCATCTGAGTGACCCTTTTAAAATATATATTTAATGCTTTATGACATTTTTTTGCTTAATAATTAAAGCTTTGGTCCACCTATACCTAACAGTAGAACATTTGTCGCAAACACCTCATATATCATTCATATTACAGATATTATAATAATAATCAATAATATATTAAAAGTTTCCGACAAACAAAAAAAAACTCAAAAATAACCAAAAATGTGTAGGAGTTAAGCTACGGCACGTAAGGGTTGCATAAACCTTGAATATTTAATCTTGCAAATAGCTTTCCTTTCGAGGAAATTCATTTTCATAAAAATATAAAAAAGAAATTAATGTACTAATTGGACCGTTCATTTAAATTA